TTAGCTGGGCATGGTGGTGCATGTCTGTAGGCCCAGCTACTCGGGAGGCTGAGGCAGTAGGATCGCTTGAGTCCAGGAGTTTGAGGTTGCTGTGAGTGAGCTAGGCTGACGCCATGGCACTCACTCTAGCCCGGGCAACAGAGTGAGACTCTGTCTCAAAAAAAAAAAAGATAGACACAAAGACCTTAAAATACTTATCCTGTCCAGGGCTTTTGTTTTTTGAATTCATGTATTTCTTAGCTTATGTTTGGTTTTTACTTGTGTTTTTGCTTCTGAGAAAATAGATGTACAAAGCATCGGCATGGTTGCAGGAGCAGTGACAGGCATTGTGGCTGGAGCTCTGCTGATTTTCCTCCTGGTGTGGCTGCTAATTCGAAGGAAAGACAAAAAGAGATATGAAGAAGAGGAGAGACCTAATGAAATTCGGTAAACCTCCCCAAATCCCCACTTCTACTGAGTTTCCTTTCTAGGGCCAGCTCCATAGTGACCAGTCAACATAAATGTCTCCAGTTTCCTTTTAACCATAAATCTGTTGCAAGGATTATTCTGGTGGGGAGGAAGTTCCAGCCTAGGGACAGAAGGTCTGGTTTACCTGGACTTTACAGTGAAACTATCTATACTCAACAGAGACTCAGAAGTTCTACTTAACATTACTTCTGATTCATTTCCATTCCTAAAAGGACATACAATAAAGAATGGGGTATGGACCACGAAAGGGTTTATGTAGACAAACCCTAAATCAGGGGGAATGTCTAGACCATCTCATTGGTGAGATCCTATCCTCCCAGTATAATAAGGTTGAGCTTTGGGCTAACAAACATGCATTTGCCTAAACTAAGCATTAAGTTTTAAGAAATGAGGAAGTGGCCAGGCCATTATGCCTGTAATCTTAGCATTCTGGGAGGCTGAGGTGGGAGGATTGCTTGAGCTCAGGAGCTCAAGACCAACCTGAGCAAGAGGAAGAGCAAAAGCGAGAGCGTCTCTACGAAAAATAGAAAAATTAGCTGGGCAACTAAAAATAGAAAAAATTAGCTGAGCGTGGTGGCACGTGCCTGTAGTCCCAGCTACTCTGGAGGCTTAGACAGGAGGATCGCTTAAACCCAGGAGTTTGAGGTTGCAGTGAGCCAGGCTGATGCGCGATGGCACTCTAGCCCATTGAGACTGTCTCAAAAAAAAAAAAAAAAGAAAGAAAAGAAAAGAAATGAGGAAGTGCCCATTTATTGGGAAATCTCAGAAGGAAACAACTATAGTGGAAGCTGACATAGTACTGCCAGTATTAAAGTTTATCTTTGCTGTTTTTTTCTCTTCAGAGAAGATGCTGAAGCACCAAAAGCCCGCCTTGTGAAACCTAGCTCCTCTTCCTCAGGCTCTCGGAGCTCACACTCTGGCTCTTCCTCCACTCGCTCCACAGCAAATAGTGCCTCACGCAGCCAGCGGACACTGTCGACTGAAGCAGCACCCCAGCCAGGGATGGCCGCCCAGGCATACAGCCTAGTGGGGCCAGAGGGGAGAGGTTCTGAACCAAAGAAAGTCCATGCTACCCTGACCAAAGCAGAAACCACACCCAGCATGATCCCTAGCCAGAGCAGAGCCTTCCAAACTGTCTGAATTAGAATGGACTTGACTCCCGTGCTTTCCTAGGAGTCAGGGTCTTAGGACTCTTCTAGTCATTGGAGCTCAGTCACCAGCCACACAATCCCCTCGAACCAGATGAAAGGCCATTTAAGTAGCAGTGAGCATTGCATGGAACATATTCAGAAGAGCACTTTCCTTATATGACACCAAACAAGCAAAGGATGTAAGCTGATCATCTCCAAAAAGGCATCTCATTGTGCCTTCAGACCAGAGTAGGGGAAAGCAGGGTCCAAATCTGTCTATTTGTTGATCAGGACCTGTGGTGAGAAGGCTGGGGAAAGGTGAGGTTAACACACCTAAAACTTCTCACCTGGGATGTTTTGCATCAATGCTTTGATTCACCATCGTCAAGAACAAATTGGATCTTGTTTGTAAATTTTCTATGCATTTCTGCAAACCTATTGGATTATTGTGATCATTCAGATAGTCAAGCAGAACCCACAGCCTTCTATTACACCTACCTGCACCATGAGCTAACCACTTCTAAGAAACTCCAGAAAAGGAAACATGCCTCTTCTATTCTGACTTCATTTGTCATAAGGTTTGGATATTAATTTCAAGAGGAGTTGAAATAGAGGGAGATGGAGAAGAGTGAATGACTTTCCCATTCTACTACTAGTCTTCCTACTTATATTGAACCCTACAATAAGAACTAAAAAAGGAGACCAAAATATGTGACAAAAGACCTGTGAAAAGCTTTCCATTTTAATGATGTTCAGATTGCTGACAAACAGAAATAAATAGTGGAGCAACTATGGATTTTCCCTCAAATCAGATACCTCTAAGGACTTCTCTGCTGGGTATCTCTGGAGGAAGAAAATACTCACTACATGTCATTTAACAGTGTTTTTAGAGGAACATTCAAGAGGAACATTTCCTCTCGTTCCAGAGGAAAAAGAGATCTAGGAATGCCGAAAGATCACTCAACATACCATTACAATCTCCTGTTTCTGAGAACATGTGAAACCAGAATTTCAAGACTGGCTGGACTAGAAAGGGAGATTAGATCAGTTTTCTCTTAACATGTCAAGAAAGACTATGAGGAAGCTTAGTATTGCACCAAACCTGGAGCTTCCTCCATTTCTTCCATTTTAGAAGGATGTGAACCTAGGACTTTTGATGATTCTACGCCTTAAATTATCAAAAAGATCAGGGATTGCCAATGTTTTCTAATGGCACTGCAAGTATATGCCATAATCATTCCTGAGAGGTTGAAAATGAGAAAAATTCAGTATTTTCCCAGCCTCAGCCCCCAGGAAAGTCTAGCTCAGGGCTGGAAGGAAAGGGAACTAACATTCAGGGAAGAGATGGTGAGAATAACAATTGAGTGGCAGGAAAGGGCTGGGCTAGTGCCTGCTAACATTTTAGTTGTCAGCACCTTGGAAACAATTGGCAAAAAGAATTTACCAGCATGAGTAATTATTGGAAAAGCTTATATATATATATATGAAAGAAGGTATCTGAGAATTGAAAACAGCAACTTCCAATACAATAATTTGCTTTTTTAATAGTTTGGACTATTCTGATACCTACAACACAAATGCTGAACCTCGAATAGCTCTTCAGGGACCCTAGCACAAACGTCAACTGATCACCCTTGGCAAAGCAGAATACTTCTTGTCATTTAAAAGAGCAGCGGACCAGAAAAAACAAAAAGTAATGCCGAATATGGTGATGAAAGCATTGTTTCTAAAATGGGAATCAGATGCTTAAAGGGAAAAGGTTGATCTGGGATGTTGCCCCATTTCTCTGGTTTTTCATTCCTACATTTAATTCTCACAGTAGTGTCCTCACATAGTTGCATAGTGCAAAAATATTTCCTTCTGAAGTCCCTAGGAGTTTATCCTTGGGTTAAAGTTTTAACCTGAGTTTTGTCTTCCTCCAAAAAAGGTGGAAATAAGAGACATTGAGAAAGGAACATAAAGAATGTCTGCTATTAGTCTAATTTAAGAGGACTGGCATATTTGGAATGCTTTTTATGTTAACACTTTCATTGTAAGATATAAAACCCTTACTCTGACTACATTTTTATTCTTCTGGTAGTGTGGTGTCCAGGCAACGTATCACTTCTGCTATGTAATTCTGAGAATTCTCATTCCTAGAGTACCTGAGCCAAACAAATACACTATGGAGGCTGCAGCGGTATCATCACTAGCTACTTGCTCTTATCATTATTTACTACCTTAGATCCTAAGGTTTCCTGCCTATGCGTTTGAAAGTAGAAATCAGTCCCCTTTGCACGAAAAGGAGGTTTAGATTATTTAAACACATAAATTATCAGAAGACTAAAATACCAGTTGATTATTCAAATTATTTCAGAAATCTATTCTTAATCGAAATCTACAACAAATACACAGAACAGATTACACTAAGAGCAGAGGAATTCTAAGGAATTGAAGATTCTAAGAAGATATGGTGCTGAAGTCTTAGCAATGATAGTGCACTTCTCTTTGAGTCAGGTTCAGATATGTGACAGGTTCTGGGCTTAAGTTAGAGCTATTACTAGTTCCAAACCATATTCCGTTAACTTTGCAAGTCAAGTAAGTCTGATTCTTAAATATAAAACAAAAAAGATAAAAAAACTAAATGGTAGATGAAAAAAATGTTTGTAGGAAGATGATGCAGATGGAATGATGTTGATGTTTAGAGAGTAACCATTTTAATAAAATATATAAACCAAACTTTATTTGTAAAATAATGGAAGTCTATGCCTTTGTTGTCACACTGTATAAAAACAATTTAAGAATTACTGCTACAAAAAGACATACATAATTTTGCTTTCTTCTAGTGTTAAGCTGTTTATATTTCAACTTTAACTTCTAAGTTATAATTGGGACTGTCTGAACATCACAAAAACCAAATATTATACATGCATCTGTATCAGCAATTAAGAAATAAATAAGTGAAGGTGATACTGTAGGAGAGGCTGAAGCTCATATACCCTGCACTGGAAATTTGTTTATCAGCTTGCTGCCAACAGAAGAACAGAAGAATTCAGACTGAATGATCTACTCTTTATTGATTTCAGTCACAAATATAGCAAATACTATTTTCTCTCACAAGGCAAGATGCTAAGTAGTACAGGGGATACCAACAGAGTTGCTGCCTTAAGGACTTTATCAAAATAACCATATTATAATTACTAAACAAATATTTTGTGCCAAGGTGAAGTGCCAACAGAGAAGCACACAGTAAGGGGTTCAAATAAATCTGGAAAAAACTTCACAGAGGTCAACCATAATAATAG